GGGGGGGTGCGTGTGTTTGCGTGCGTGCGCGTGCACACGTGCGCTCCTGTATAAACACTTACAAGTTAGATCTTTCTTTACATATTCTTTCATAATCAATCTCGACTATGTATTATGCAATTTTAACCCTCTGTCATTCCTTCATGCATTAAGCCCATGTCTTTGCACACTCCTTCCCTCGTCACACAAGCCCAACAGCTTTGTAAACCACAAGATCAGCTCTGTTTACCTTCATGTGAAAACGCTCACCCTTCAAAACTCGGTACGACGGTGCCTTCAATAGCTACCATTGTTTTACAAGTTACTTTGTCTACGCGGCGATCCCTTTCAAAAATTGTTGCCTGTCGTCACAATACAAGGTACAAAGTTTCCCTAACAGGCCAATCTTGTCGCTGCAAGACAAAAGGCTGGGGAAAAAATTCCACCGTGGTGTTAACGCTTTTAAGACTAACATAGCTGTCGAAGTGCTGGGCTGGCCTGATCGAAGCTGTGCTGAGTTAAGCTCGATCTTGCAGGTGCAGAAAACCTTTTAATAACGGCCGACAGCTGTAAAATGGATTGACACTTTCTTTAAAATATTGCTGCTCTTTGGTGAGAAAAGGGAATGTATGAAGAGAACGTTCGTCGCGCTTGCTTCGGCAATAGGTCAATAGAGACTCGACTGGAGTTCCCTGCTATAATCTTATTATCGGCATACGGGGACAGGGATTGTGCCAGAGAGCTACGGATTATCTGTCCCGGTAATCGCTGTGATGTCAGTTCGTGGGCAGGCTGCTCTTCTGTATGGCTCAAGGCTCTTTCTTTGTCATCTAGCGTTTAGTTTCATAATTCTACCGAGGCGTGGACAGGGTACGCACAAGGACCTGAAGCCGTCCTGCCGTTGTGAATGGCTACAGTTGACTAAACTAGTGTTTAACCAAAGAGTGGTCAGTAAAGGCGCACTTGGCATAAATCCCTGCACTCAAAACGCCTTGGGGCAGTTTGACGACGGAGAGCCTTGCTAATTGGCGGACGGATTTCGCTTTTTTTTTCTCTTCAAGGATACCCAAACTATTGGAATTTCTCTCACAGTTGTGTGGCAGTTACAAAGGTGTGCTCTGGGAATAAGATGCAGCTGCAAAGATTCTATTCATAAATTATGTGGATTTTTGTTTGATAGCGAAAACGGTAATGTGTCATTAAGACAAGGATTCGAGTAAACAAGTATTTAAAAAATTGTTTTTGTTTTCTTCAGGGAGTGCATTGTTAGTAAGGTAGTTATTTCACTCAGACATGGAATGTCAAATTGTACCCACTGCCAAAATTGAACGGCTGAAAATTAAAAAACACAGGGAAGCTAAAGAGAAAGCCTTGAATCAAAACTGCGTATGTGACGGAGACTGTCATAGGATTTATTCATCGATGCCAACTTTCAAAGCACCTAAGTCAACGTTTCCGGATAAAGAAAAGGACAGCGAAGGAAAGAATATTAAGAGCCAAATCCAGAATTCAAATAAATATAATCATTTCACGATGTCAAGGCCAGGTCTCAATGGGAGTCCACTTTTGTCACAAAGTCCAGCAATCTGTGATTCAGCCGAGATATCCACAGACCCAAACAACAAAGATCAAGCTACAACTGACACTAACAGGAAAATCAAAACTGGAACAGTTTCATATCAGTTAAAGTGCAATGGAAGTACCGTCCCAGAAACCACCTTAAAATCTAACCCCAAACATGGCTCTGAGCGCAGACGAGCCAGTGACGGAGATGAAATGGTGGATGCAAATCGCAGTCGAACTGGAGCCAGGAAGTCTGTCGTTCAGATTTCAGACAATTTGCCCACTTTGTCTAAATCTCCAGTAAGAGAGGCGACGGGGTCACATACAGTCTCCCCCAGACAGGGCTCCGCGAGAAACAGGCTTCAGGAGAGAAGGAAGTCATCCCCTGTCAAATATGGCGCTGAAAACCCATTTCTGGTGAGTAGAGGGAGACTTCGAAAGGGTTCTTGCTACTAACCTTTAAAAACAATTACTATCGAAGAACTTTCGAAAATTTATTATTAGTTAATCTACATTTTGGTAAACGGGAAGCACATAAATTTTATGAATGTTATAATATTATTATAAATTTATATCCCCACGAGACACAAGAAAGAAGACTGAAAACAGATTACTTGAAATAGTGTTTATGAGAAAGAAGGCAGAAAAAGGAAGGAGGCAGGGAAGATACTCCTAAAATAAATAGATTATGTCTTCTAAATCTATCCTTCTCCCCCCCCCTCTCTCTCTCTCTCTCTCTCTCTCTCTCTCTCTCTCTCTCTCTCTCTCTCTCTCTCTCTCTCTCCCTCTCAATCTCTCTTTCTATTGCTTTTATTATGTTCATGTTACTTTCAATTTAACTAAACATGCATGTACATGCAGATATCGTTCAATTTTTTTTGCATCCTTTGTGAGTGCGACAGTGTGTCCTCACTTGTTCTGTGTGTAATCTTGGGTAAGTTCGTGCTTAAGTTGAGCAGTTCTGAATAAGTACATAATTTAATCGATTTAACGCGAAGTTGTTTTTTATTTTCCAGCATTGAATTTTCACTAAACTAATTAATAATAACCCTATTGGTGTTTAGAAAAACAGCTCCACATTTTTGGGGGAAAAAGGTTTTGCACGTTTGATTCTATGTTTACGAGTACGTTACAACGACAAATCTCATGATTGTACATACAGTACTGTCGAATAATCATGATTTTGAACGTAACTTACTTAAAATGAACTTTTCTCTTTTCTGGTGAAGCGTCTCTTCCAGCACATGTGTGTTTGTATAGGTGTTTTATGGTTTGCTTGTGCTTGTATCTTCATCCTTCTTATCTACTTTTTATGAACGAATTTGTTTTGTTGTTGGGTTTGTTTTTTTGTTGATTGTTGTTGTTTTGTCAAGGATTGTCTCTGAGCGTATTGTTTAGCCGGCCCCTATTGTTTTGGCAGGGTGTTGCTGAGTCTTCCGCTCTGCGGCGTAAGTCGATGAACGACAGCCGGGGTGTCTCTCCTTGGTACTACATCGACTCCAGACCAGTCTCCTCAGATACCCACGGCAGGCCTCACCGCCGAAACGTCATTTCTCCTACCACGCTACACAGGTCAGTAAAAACATCATTTTTCACCCATAAATGTCGGTGGCTCAGTGGTTAAACTCTCAGACTCGCAACCATAAGGTTGTGGGTTCGCATCCCGTCAGGGGTCCGAAGTTGTGTCCTTGGGAAAGGCACTTTACTCGCATTTTCCTCACTTCACCGGGTACTCAGCTACAGACAGTGAAAGATCGTATTAATTTGTTAGTGCTTGTGCGCTTAATCAGCTGCTTGCATTGTATTATGCTTACCGGGAAGCTGAGAATGTGTGTGAGTGTTCAATGGTCTGCTGAGGTATTAATATAGTGTGTACTGTAAAGCGCATGGAGCTTGCTGTCGAGCGGGGTTATACGCTATACAAATGCTATTATTATTATTATTATTATTATTATTATTATTATTATTATTATTATTATTATTATTATTATTATTACTATTATTATTATTATTATTATTATTATTATTATTATTATTATTATTATTATTATTATTATTATTATTATTATTATTATTATTATTAAAGGAGCTTTGTAGCTCGAACACCGACAAGGCCTTTCCACACATAAGTATAATATTTACTGTAGTGATCTATCGGCTGCTCACTTATAAACTGCCCGTGCATTGCTAGTATAAGTAATCTCTACCTTTTCAGAAGCTATATAGAAATGTAATTAACTGCATGGAACCTTCGCTTATCAAAATAATTAGGAAGACAGAAATGCAATTTCTGGTACTCTTGAGCCAACATGAAGACCTCAGTTTGCTCTCACTGGAAAAGAGGCTGTTGCAACACAAGAACAGTTAACTTAGAGAGTTGAATTAGTTGGATAAAATAGTGAAAGGGAGAGCGAGACATTGTCATCATCATTATTATTGTTTTTATTATTATTTATTATAATTATTATTATTATTATTATTATTATTATTATTATTATTATTATTATTATTATTATTATTATTATTATTATTATTATTTTAGTTTACGTTTTTTGAAGCATTGGAGAGGAGAAAATGAGCTTTTGACTATGACTGCTGATGTCTGCTCCAAACATGGCTTTTGGTGATGCAATGGAAGCAAAATAATCCAGAAGTCGTGGGTAAAAGTAATTTATGCTAGAGAGAAATGGGGACGAGGGTATTCAGACAAATTGTATAAATAGACAGTTATCATCTAAAGCATCAAGTATTAAAGATGAAATGTTCAAATACAAACATTGAGCCGAAAATACCTTCATAATGCTGGGTGACTGCAAATTGTGTTCGTGCAAACGACACATCTGACTAAAGATTATAATAGATACTCTCTGATTCGAAATAAAATTACCATACCAGGTACTTTTTTTAAAAATACTCTTAATTAGCACGTCTTTTAGAAGTGCAACAAAGGCTTTGATCTTAATATAAAGCATTGAGAGGTTGGCAAGGAAATCGTCTTTGATTTCATAACATCACACTCAACCTTACAATATGTTCATCACTCTCCTTACTGGATCCTTGTTATTATGGTAAGTATGCCACAAATAAAACAGGGACTGGGGAGGAATACTATAAAGCTACTGTAAAAAAAAATTGGATCCATAATAGATCTATATTATGTCTGTTCACTTACAGACTGAGCACAGAGGCAGAGACAGAGAGGGGCGGGTCGGCTGCCTTGTCTTTTTGCACAGAGGATGATTGGAAACTTTACGGTTCCAACTTTCCGAACCGTCGACTTGTCTCTCATAGAAAGCTCAATCATGAGTGCAGGTTTGTTTGGTTTTATGTCTCTTTCACCCTTTGAACTGTTATTTACGGTATTTTTTAAACGAATTAAACCCCTATAGAAAGCAAATAGCTTATTATATCAAAGATGGATTCTTAAACACTCTCTGTTCTCCTCCTAACCCCCAACCCCTTTCAGCATCATACCTGAAACTTTCTTTTCTCATTTCCATTTCTTCGCTTTTAAATGATTTCAAATAAAACGTTGAAGTGTTGTTGAAATAGGTTGTCACAAGCTGTCAAAAGTCCAAAGAACAGACAGAAAGTCTTTAATGTTCAGATAATATAAGATAAGTGGGTCAAGAAGATACCTTTGAGCCTTTACATTTGCACCAAGGCGCTCATCTCTCCATAAGTGTTGGTTATGCACGCGCGCGCTCGCGCGAATTTGTGTGTGTGTGTATGTGTGTGTGTGTGCGTGTGTGTGTGTGTGTGTGTGTGTGTGTGTGTGTGTGTGTGTGTGTGTGTCTGGACGAAGAGGGAGGGAGATGAATGTGTGTGTCTGTGTGTGTTGTTTTGGAGAGTGAAAGACAGAGGGAGGGACAGAGAAACGGGCGTGTAGTATGTAATTTTGCGCTTGCGAGCGTGTGTGAGAATGTGAGTGTTTGTAATTGTGTGTGAGTGTGTGTGTGTGTGTGTGTGTGTGTGTGTGTGTGTGTGTGTGTGTGTGTGTGTGTGTGTTTTATACGTGTGTGTTTGTACGATTGTATTTATGGGTAATGTGTGCATGTGTTAGTTTCCATAGTGTGTACACCCTATTTTCCAAATGCAATGATACGATAATAAAACACATGTAATACAGCACACAATTTCGTCCTGTATGTTTAGAGATTGGTCTCAGCTGGCAACACAGTGACCAAAATGTGCTTTTCAAACATACGGATTCTCAAATCTCTTCGCAAAAAATGTTTGTTGATTATAGAAATACATATCTGTAATATTTCCGTCTGGACACACAATAAGCAGTTAAGATGCTTGGCACAAACATAGAGAAATGCATGAATAAGCACATTTCAATCTTGAATTAATAAGTCGGTTAGGGTATGGTGTGGTGCTAATTGATTGCCCCTGTCAAGATTCCAAGGTTATAAGTTGGGACCAAAGAGGTTAGATTTAGTACTAGAGTTTGTGGCAGTAATGTGCCCCACGTAAACGAACCGGGACTGCGTGTTCCCACTCTGGGACGCTGAACCTCAAGGACAAGACATGTGCAGTTCAACAGACGGACGAGTACCTTTCGAGACTCACGTGGAGGCGTCTCGGCGGTCTTTGGAAGAAATCTTCAAGCTTGCACTATGATATAGGGGTAGGGTGGTGCTTAATATATTAGAGCTCGTGGGTGGCGAGGTGGGTGGACTCAGTTTGTTCATGTAAATGGAGGCACGCCGGTCATGCCCACAAGGGTAAGCAGGCCCCATGTCTGACACGTGTGACGTCACTACTGCCAGCACTAATATTATATATAACCTCTTTGGTTGGGACCTTCTGACCTAACATCCACAGGAAGATGGGAAGCTTTAAAAAGTGGATAAACAACTCGAGTTCAAGAATGCCCTTTTAGTAATTAGAACCAGAAGCATCTTCACAATAACTCTGTAGATCTACCTCGGTTAATAAGGGTGATAATATTTTTGAAGAAATTAAATGATTAGGTTTATGTCAACAGTGTCATGTGATCAAGAAGGGAGGAGATAAGATTTAATTGTGAGTTGCACCACATGTAGTATTTAGATGTTGTTGTTGATGTTGTTGCAAATTTACGTGGAAGACATAGGACGCTTAACAGTGTGAAAACGATGCTTCATTTGTTTCTCAACAATGGAGTACTAAAAACATATTCTATCGTTTCCAGCTTGCCATACAGCGACAACATAGGCCTAGAGGAGACAGTGACATCTGACCAGGCCAAAAAAGCCTCGAAACAGAAGCATCATCGGCAAACTCCAAAAAAGCCTGCGAACACACGGACTCCGAAACAGCTGTGGTACCGAACCATCCGGAGTATTCTTGCTGCTAACTATCTTTACCATCAAGTTCAGAAAAAGAAGAAACATGTCCAGTAAGAAAAGGAAGCAGTTCGCTACCTTACAATTACAAAGTTCTAGCAAAAATTTCTGACTCTTTTGAGTGACTGAGACCATGAGGTCCGAAACCAAAATTATGTTCCATATCAAAATCATAAGAATATCCGGAGTTGTTTTCGAGATATTCAAAGAATTGCATTCGAAAAAGCTTTATCTTGTGAAACTCAAAACTTTTAATGTCAAATTTCTCAAAACTAGGTACTGAGCCGATAGAACTTTGCAATTTTGGGGTAGCGAGTTGCTGATCCTTTCCAGCGTTGATGCCATCATCTTTTGGTCATTTAAAAGGTATTCACTTAGTGTTAGTGAGAAAGTATTACTGCTGATGGTAAGTTCGCCAACATAAGCGAAATGGAAAAAATCCACTGGCACTCAGAAAAATATGTTTATAGATAGGCATGGGATTCTAAGTGGGCTTCATTTCAACATTTGTGTAGGGGTACTTGCACAAACAGATGGAGTCTTTTCTTGGAGCACCACACGCGCCTTGTGCTATCATTGACATTGTCTGTGGTTAGTATAGATGTAATTTGTACGCTGAAGGTGGCTTGGAAATGGTGTATTGGGTGGCCAAGAATAACAAAAAGGGAAAAGGGGGGGGGGGGCATGAAAGCTCCATCATCATCATCATCATCATCATCATCATCATCATCATCATCATCATCATCATCATCATCATCATCATCATCATCATCATCATCATCATCATCAATTGCCAGATCTGAAACAGACATCGGTGGTCATGATTCTCCAGTCATTTCTTTGTTCGGATATCTTTCAAAAACCTATATTACTTTCCCATAATAACATACAAGTGTTTTCATCAGCAATTTTTCATACTGGATAAATTACAGTTTCCTTATTTACCTGTGAAGCTAAAACATGACTTTTCTAATGTTTGCACTTTTTTGATGTGGTAAAAATAGTAATGAGTATTTTTTCAACATCTGCTATCACAATGCACACCAGTGGCCTTGACGCTGATGTTTGATGGACTAAACTGACACGTGCAAGTGGTAAGCTTCAAATTCGTGAAGAGTTCAATTCCTTTCGTTTCTTCCTGGGACAATTTTCCCGCTCGCCTTCATGCCCTGACTGCAGAATCCAAGTCAGCTATCAAAATATTATACTTGAACCTCATCTGGCAAGACCACTATAGTGAAAAAATACTTATTAGAAGCTAGACAAGTTCCTTTTTTGCACCAGACCCAGATTCCCTACGGTTGTTGAATGTCTTAGTTTTAGTTATAGTAAGAGTTTTATGGCACTTGCACCACAATTAGGTCATTTCGTAAGTGCCAAAGATTAAATGTGTTACAAGAGTGACAGACACAAAAAGGAGGAGGAGAGAGAAGGACAATAGATGTTTGATGGGAAAGAAGGATGAGCAAACCGCACCAGAGCACTAGCCAACCACCCACAGTTGAGTGTGTAATGTAACTTCATAACTGAATAATTGAGGTACACGTATTTATATAATTGAAACCCATTGCTGTAATGGCAAAGCTAGCTGTAAGACAAATGTGTGTCTATTTTGGCTTGAAATTACTGTTTTCATAGATTATTGAAACGTCGGTTTCTTTTACGAAAATGAGAGGCTTCCTTATATGAACAGGTACTGCAATGTTTGGTTTAACCATGATTAAATCATAGGTAGATCAGTGTACCAAGCCATGGGACATATGGGAAGTGCAGTTGATGTTTGTTTTTGTGTTTTTTGGAAGATGTAGAACGTTGTTTGTATCCTTTGCTTGAATTCGTTACTTGATTCTTGGAAAAAAAATAAAGCAAAACATGAAGTATGTACCGAGTTCAAAATTTTGTGTAAGTTATAGTTTACATAGCGCGAATCGAACTCTCAATTATTATTATTCCTTTCTTCTTCCTGCATCCGCTATCTTTGCAGTAAGTATATGGCAAATGTGTGTGTTTAACACAGTGTCACAGTATATCCTATGAGAGAAACTTATGTAGGTCTACCCAAATGGGAATGTGCTGGCTGGCATTAAAGTCAGATGCATGTTAGCATTTAAATTTTGTCTTCTTTTTGTACCTTTTCTTTGACTGCAATTCTTCTGTTTCGTTATACTGCTCTTGTCGTTTTCTTGCTAACTTCAACACACATACTTCACTTCGTTGACGACAGAAATCATTTTTGTAGCTTTGGATTGTCTTACGGTTTTTGTCTTTTATGCTGCTGTTGTTGTTGTTGTTGTTGTTGTTGTTTTTTGTTGTTGTTGCTACTGCTGTTTTTGTTGTTGCAACTGTTGCTGTTATTGCTGTTCGGGTGATAATGTTACGTTTTCCATCTCCACCCTTCTCCTGTTTCACACCTTATCTTCTTCCACGTCATGCCCCCGGCCCCCCTTTCCTCCTCCATTCTCATCGCTCTATTCTGAACGCCGTCAAGAAAAACGAATCCAGTCTGTTTTTGAAGTGTGATACTTGTACAGAATCCCCGGCTGTGTAAACAGATGAGGGATGAAACACTGACAGAATATCAACAAACCAGGCCTGGAGCTACTACTGCTTCTACTACTACTACTACTACAACTACTACTACTACTACTACTACTACTACTACTACTACTACTACTACTACTACCTCTCCACTGAACAACGCGCCTGGCCGCTGACAGTTGCGGGTGACAATTCCCCAACTAGCGGGAATGGCCCACTCGCACCAGGTCGCATCCCGCCTCTCGCGATTAGAGAGTGATTATCGTAGCGACTGACAAAAGCGTGGCGAAGTGCCTCGGACGGGGACTACCCGCCATCGCCCGGCTTGCTAGCACCGATATCAATGTCGTGAGGACGCCATTATCGGTAATAAAGACTGTCAACGAGCCACGCCCATTTCTCCCTCGCCGCACCGGGGTTGATGGGAAGAAGCGTGCGCTGTATTTTGGACATCTGGTGAACGGGAGGAGAGCCTTGCTTCGAAAATAAAAAAAAATAAAAGTGACATTAGATTTAGGTCTGTGTTGTGTATCGGATAGGTAATGTGGTTGGTGACGTTTTACGCTCTGTTTATCTTTGGGTGACTTACCATGAATCAAACGGCAAATTCAAGAGGAAGAGGATAATGATGACAACCATGACAATAATAACAATAGTAATAATAGAATTATTATTATTATTATTATTATTATTATTATTATTATTATTATTATTATTATTATTATTATTATTATTATTATTATGATAGCGACAGCGACAACGACAGCAACAACAAAAAGTACAAAGGAAATTTTAACAAGAAAAAAGACACAACATTAGCAACGGTAACAACAACAGCAACGCTAACAACAACAGCAATAATAACAACAATAACAACAACAACAGCAACAGCAACAACAAACAGCAACGATAAAAAAGACAACACCCATCAACAACATTACCAACAATATGCATCAACATGAAGATTAAATATAAATAGAATCCGCCAGGCAAACAAGATAATGGGGTAAGCCTTGCGGTGAGCATCGTCTCGTCATTCTATTGTCCTGGTTGCAAAACCCCATTGTTACGCATGGTTGCCTAACCGTGATGAGGCACCCCAAGAGTCAAGGGATGGGCTTTTTTAATGTAGATGATGCTGGTGACAGCCGTTAGCCTCCACTGTCAACTGAACCGTTTTTTTTTAAACTTTGTCAAAGAAAAACTTTCCCCGTGTTGTCTCCTTTTGTATGATGAGATCATCACACACTCACGCCCCAAAGCACAGACAGTGAACGTCTTTGTTCAGGTTCTTTTAAGCACAAAGAACTCAACATTTTTATTAATATGACGAGTTCATCTGTGACAAAGTCTGTGACGAGTTTTTAAAAAAAAAGACAGACAGACAGAAATGTTAAACCTATTTCACGTTGGGAGATTTAAATTTTACTTCCTGCAACAACCGATACCTCGTGCATGTTTCCCTTTTTTTAAAAATGTGAACATCCCGCTTCATTTTGTTGGTTAATTTATTTGGAAAACGGCAAACTCCACCTCCTTCCCTCCTTTCGAAAAAGCACACACTCCATCCGACCCCAACCAGGCAAATGAGAACAGATTTAAAGATTATTTTTTTAAAATACGTGTCGAGTCTCGTGTGATGATATTGATCAGGTATGCTGCTGTATTGTTATTACGCCTTTTCAACTTTTGAAGTCATGGAATTCATTTCCAAAATCAGTCAGCGTTGTAACAAACATAGGGGTGAGGTGGGGGGGGGGGAGGGGGAGGATTGGGGGGGGGGGGGGTGGGTTTGGGTGGGTAGGTTGGGGGGTTGGGGCGGGGGTGGGGGGTAAGGCTCAAAATTCTCTAACCACCCGTTCAGTGATGTCCAGTTTGGAATTCGAAGCAAGGTCACCAGCATCACAGTCTAGGATAACGCCATGTGGGTGTGGCCAGAGAAAGAAAAGTTTCCTGGGGGGTGGGGGTATCCCCTCCGGGATACTGTAATGAAGCCGGGAAGGTGAGCCGGGGAGGGAGGCATGGGGGGGGGGGGGGGGGGCAGGGGACAGTCTTAGGTTAAAAAGAAAAAAAGAACCTAGCAAAATCAGAACTCATTATTTAAGACATCACGTATGTAAGAATAACTTTTTTGCACAACCTTTTACTATATGTCCGTTTATATTTTCATGCCACTTGCTTATCCTTTTATAAGGGCTAGGATATAGAACTGGCTATTGCAAAGGTTAAACTGCCCTACAAAACAGTATTTTGAAACATCCACTTACATCTAGCAAACATTGAAAAAAATGTTTTCTCTCTCTCTCTCTCTCTCTCTCTCTCTCTCTCTCTCTCTCTCTCTCTCTCTCTCTCTCTCTCTCTCTCTGTCTCTCTCTCTCTCTCTCTCTCTCCCTTTCACACACACACACACACACACACACACACACAGACACACACACACACACACACACACACACACACACACACACACACACACACACACACACACACACACACGCATACACATATATATATACATTTAAACTTTTTTACATAATATTATATATTACATACTTACTTACTCTTTCCCTATACCGTCAGTGAAATAAATAAGACGGAGAGGAGTCGACGCCACGTTTGTTTAGGTGGGCCACTTCTTCCAAAAGCGGCACATCTTGGTCTTTTTGTGCCTTTAAAGCTTCCAGTTGGCTTTCCTCGCTTG